AATTCGCCAGAGCCACTCGCCATCAAAACTATAGCCAATATATTTATTCTTCTTCAGACGATGTAAAAGAGGGTAAGAAAGAGCTAGTTATTTACGAAAGTTATCCCAACCGTTTGTTTGCTTTCGAACGCACAACGCGTAGCTGACCATACACAACACCTGCCGCAAAGTGCGGCTTTGACCGGATTTTTGTTACTTAAAAAGTGATTTCTCTGTCCATGAAACATCATTTCCAGTTGAGTAAACACTCCTTTTGTAGAGTTTTATTCAAGGAGACCTTTGCAGCTGCGAACGAGCAGTGCGAAAACAAGAATAAATAGTATGCTAAAAAAACTCCCTCGCGCCTTTTAAGACGAGCTTTGCGGGGAAGCGAACATATGGCTGCTAGAAACCGCAGTAGAGAAAGTTAATTTATCGGTGGTCGCGAAAAATTACAGCCTAAACGATTACACTTTACTTGATGGTACATTTCTTGTGTTGTTCAAGACACCTTCTGAGCAATGACATTGCTGCGAATAAATCAACATACTGGCAACATTAGTTATTGCTTAGGTAAACATCGAGCTAATCCGCAACCTTAAAAACGACGAGTATAAAAAATTGTGTGTGTGTGTATGTTTATACAGCCTAGAACTTAGTCTGCCTCAACGGGCGACTTGTCTCCCAACTATACATGAGAAATTTAGCCAGTGGAGTACAACAGACAGCTTGAGGTTTTTAATGCGTATCAGGCAGTAGTGATACACGACCGCACGCCGGTACGATGCTCATCCAGGTCAAAACGGGAAGGGGTGGGGATCGAACCCAGGATCCCTGGGTTCTGTAGCGCTAGCATTCGCTCCACGTGCTCTGAGCTGGTGTGCGCTAGGCAACTCTTCCATCGATGCCCCTTACGAGTATAAAAGGTGGAGGCGGAGCGTACGGAGTCCTTCATCGGAATATACTCCCGAGCAACGTTCTGTGGCATTACAGAAGTAAAGACAGCGCGTGCTAAGATTTAATTGGCGCACAAGGTGCGCGAGCACCCGTGCGCCGATAGCTTCGATTGCATAGCCACAGAAAGTTGTCCGCGAGTATTGGCGACGTGCGCGATCAAAAGCTTCGCTGTGGTCGGCCTGCCACAATTGGCCGAATGTGGACTATGACGTCAGCAAAGGATTTCTCATCGACGAAATAAATAGGAATGTAAGAACTTGAAATTTAACAGTGTTGGCAGTTTTGCTTTGAGAGCGCAATGATTTCAAGCTTCCACCATGCTAATTACAAACACCATCGAACTTGTTGTTCATAAGGTAATGACGTCTCGAGAGGGAACCACAGGAGGACGCCACCAGAACATCTCGCCGCAAATACGGAGTACTCACTGAACACTGAAACCTGAACTTAAAGGAGCTGTGCAACGATTTTAGCGTTGAAAGAATTTGCATCATCTACTTTTGACATTGTTCACCTCGTCACAAAGGACAGAAAACACACCTCCTTCCTTCGAAATGTTGTGGTTCCGCCGTGTAATCGCGAGGCAAAAAATAGAATATCCCCCGACCTGCAGCCGCAAGCGGCGGCTGTGAGAAACACGCGGCGTGACCTCAATGAGGGTCTTGTACAAAGATAGCAAGTTGTGCAAATACCTGCTCGATGAAAGGTAACCTTTCTATAAATCTTGTCGTTCCAACATAAATATAAATGCGTCAAAAACCTGGTATCATCGACAAAACTTTTATTTTAGAGAGTTTTAGTGGCGCCATCTATCCTAGGCCCACAAAACCGTCAGCTCTATCTGTATCGCGAACAGCCGCCAGAAGCCGGAGGGGGAGGGGGTCAGAGCAGGACGGGTATGACGGGACCCGGATGAGAATTTCCTCCTTTCACCATATTTTTCGCGCTGCGCCCGCCAGCACGTTGTCACGTGGTCGCGAGAGGATGAGTTCTCGCTGCTCACTGATGGCTCTAGAGAGAGAGCTTCGCCGGAACCCCGCGCAACCCCCACTGACGTTACAGCGCACGTGACTCGGAAGATGGTGAAGGAGTTGAGAGGTGCCAAAAACCTCAATCTTTACCCATTTTTAATATAAAAACTGCGACACGCAGGCAAAAGCGGTTTTTCGTTCTTTACTTCAGAAACGTCGAGACACCAACTCCCAAATTATTTAACCGAAGCACTGAAACAGTTGCACGGCTTTTTTAAGAATCCGTCAGGGTATATCTATATTTTTTACTTCATCAAATATTTACTTTTATAGTTTGTCTAAATTCGACTTCTTTTTTTCTTTTGTTTTTAGCGATGCGCAGCAAATGCCTAATAAATAAATATAAAGGTATGGTTTTTTAGGCATTTGCTGGGCATCGCTAAAAACAAAAGAAAAAAAGCAGTCTATTTTAGACAAATTAAAAAGTAAATATTTTATGAAGTAAAAAATATAGATATATATCTTGACGGAATCTTAAAGGAGCGCTGCACCAGTTTCAGTGCTTTGGTTAAATAATTTGGGAGTTGGTGTTTCGACCTTTCTGAAGTAAAGAACGAAAAACCGCTTTTAGCTGCGCATCGTAGTTTTTATTTTAAAAATGGGCAAAAATTGAGGTTTTCGGCAACTTTCAACTCCTTCACCATCTTCCGAGTCACGTGCGCTGTGACGTCAATTGGGGTTGCGCGGGGTTCCGGAGAAGCTCTCTCTCTGGAGCAAGCAGGATAGAAGGGTAGGAGAGGGCACGACGACAGCCGCGTAGCCTCCACAAGCCATGCTCCCTTGACGCCTCGCCTCTTTCTCATTTTCCTCCAACCTCTCTCCTCACTTACCACGCCAACGTGACCACATCACGTGACCGTAGCTAGCCTTCGTCTAGCTATGGGGTACTAGAATACACCACAGTCTAGCCTTCGATCTGATAAAACCTACCCAACGGAGCGCTCGCAAGCCTGCAAGGAGTCCTTCTACCATCAACCATCCATCTCACACGTGACATGTCACGCGCACCAATTGCCAGCGAGATCTACGGTTACGTTGGCCACAACATCATTTAAACTTTTTATGACTAGGCTTCACCAATATTGCAACGTGCCCTCTCCTAGTACCTCGAACCTCCTTGCTCTAGAGCCACCAGTGAGCAGCGAGAACTCATCCTCTCGCGACCACGTGACCACGTGCTGGCGGGCGCAGCGCGAACAATATGGTGAAAAGAGGAAAGTCTCATCCGGGTCCCGCCATAACCGTCCTGCTCTGTCCCCCTCCCCGTCCGGCGTCTGGCGGCTGTTCGCGGTAGCAGATAGAGCTGACGGTTTTGTGGACCTACACTCTTAGAAAAAATGGTATGGATAGTCCTCCCTTAGGGGAGGAACGGTCTTGTAACCTATGTTGCTTTAGAAAGGGAGAAACTTTCGTCCCTGAAGCAGGGGAGCAAGGTTCCTCCGTCGCTTGCATCTCAATATGGCGGCCCCGAATCGAGCAAATCGAGCCCAATATTTATTTTATTTATTTACACAGTACCTACATCGCCACAGGGGCATTATTGTAGGGGGTACATGGTACAGGAAAGTAAAATGATTATACGTCACATTTTATCAAACATGTTAATAAAAAGTAAGACTATTGATTGAAAGAAGTGCAAAAAGACTGTTACAAAAACTGTTACACAAAATCAGAAACATAACAGTACAAAACAAAAACACAGCACACAACTATTCAAGGATGTCTAATAATGAGGTGGAAAACATAGCATCCGAAGTTTCAGCGACCACGTGCTGCGGAAGACTGTTCCAATCACTAATTGATTTAGGGAAGTATGAGTTCTTAAACATTTCAGTTTTACACCTAATGTTCTTTATTTTTAGCCGGTGGTCCACCCTTGAGGACAGGTAATCAGGATTATGTAAGTAGTGGTCCTTCACAATACCTGTTTGCCCTAAGTAAATACTTCTCAAAAGTTTTATTCTAAGATATTTTCTCCGCGAAACCAGAGATTTCCACTTCAGTTGTTTCTTTAAATCTGTTATACTTGAGCAAAATTCATAATTATTTGCAACAAAACGGGCTGCTCTGTTTTGCACACGCTCTAGTTTCGATATTAAATTTACGTAATACGGGTCCCACGCTGGACAAGCATACTCTAAGATTGGCCTGACATTAGTTACGTATAACAGCTCCTTAATATTTGTTGGGGCCATTTTGAAATTCCGTTTGATAAAATTTAAAACGCGGTTTGCCTTTGCTGTTATTGCGTCGACGTGCTTAGTCCAGGAAAGATCTGCGCTAAGATAAACCCCTAGATATTTGACATCAGCTACCTCCTGAAGAGGAACACCGTTTAACTGATATTTTGATAGATAAGGCTGCTTTTTTTTGGTGAATCTAATATAATTGCATTTATTGATATTAAGAAACATTTGCCATTTGTCACACCAGGTCATCACCTTTTCAAGGTCTGACTGAAGTAGAAGAGAATCATCCTCACATTTAACCTCTCTATAGATTACACAATCATCTGCATATAATCGAACACTGCATGTTAGGTTTTGTGCTATGTCATTGACATATATCAAAAAGAGAAGTGGGCCAAGTACAGACCCCTGTGGGACACCCGAGGTTACATCCGCATACGGAGAATTTTGACCACCAACAACTACGCATTGTTTACGATTTAACAAATAATCATTTATCCAACCAAAAAGATAGTCAGGAAGGGCCAAGAACGACAACTTGTGCATAAGAAGTGAATGTGGTACTTTGTCGAATGCTTTTTGAAAATCTAAAAGCAGGCAGTCAACCTGAACATTTTTATCTAGTGAAAGTGAGAGGTCATGTAAAAACTCAGTGAGTTGCGTAGTGCACGACAAACCAGCCCGAAAACCGTGCTGAGACTTGGAAAAAAAGGTATGGCTCTCAAGGTGATTAACCATATTTGAATATATGATATGTTCAAGTAACTTGGAACAAACACAGGTTAAGGAGATGGGCCTGTAATTAGAAACCAGGCTTTTTTGGCCAGACTTATGGATGGGCACAACATTTGCCGTTTTCCATTCCAAAGGTAGCCTGCTAGTAAAGAGCGATTTGTTGAAAAGAATAACTAGAAAAGGTGAGATTGCTGCAGCACAAACTTTCAGAACGTGGTTAGGAATGCCATCAGGCCCCATAGCTGAATGAGATTTCAGATTACGCAGTAATTTCAGTACGCCATAATCTTCTACCACAAACTCAGGCATTCTATCAAAAGTTGTCTCGGAAGATTCTCGTACAACTAGCTCGGTTGTCGAAAAGACAGATTGAAAGAAGTTATTGAAGCAAACAGCCTTGAGAAAGTTATCGGAGGTCAGTTCATCATTGTTCAGAATTGCTGGAATGCCCACAGATTCACTCTTGCCCGATTTTCTAACCGTTTTCCATAGTTCCTTTGGGTTGTTAAGTAATTTTGGTCCCAGTGCCAAAAAGTAGTGTTCCTTCGCTTCCTTAACTTTAGTCTTAAAGATATTATCCAGCAAACGAAGTTCAATTTTGTTGGCTGGGTCCCTCGTTTTCTTATATTTTAGAAAAAATCTTCGCTTTTTATTTAGAAGACGTCGCAACTCCTTTGTCATCCACGGTTTGTCATTCCTGCGCCTTCCCGACAACATCCTAGAAGGAATATATTCAGTGATAAGGGAAGAAAGTTTATTCTTAAACAGATTCCATAATTCTTCAATGTCAAGCAATGTGCACGCACATTCAAACTCGGGAAGATAAGCCAGGAGGTCGAAAAACAAGCTGTCGTAATCCCCTCGGTCAAACAGATAAACTTTTTTGGGGCATGGCTTATCAGTCACAGTGTGCTTACATGTTACATTTGTAATGATAGCTTCGTGGTCACTGATACCCGGAGCCGTCGTTACCAAACGGATGGCGGACGGGTGATTTGTAAGGAAAAGATCTAGTATAGATTTACTTGTTGCGCCGTACCTTGTTGGAAGCAATACAAACTGTTGCAACTCATGGGTGTCTACGAGTTCCTTGAAAGTTTTATACAGTGACGAAGAATTTCGCAAAAGGGGCAGATTGTCGACCCAATCAACGTCCGGAAGATTGAAGTCGCCACTAAGAATAACGTCATCAGGCGTTATCGCAGATAGCACATTGGAAAGACACAAAAGGGGATTCAGTGAATTGTTACTTGGGGGTCTATAAAATACGCCTACAGTTAAAAATTTATAACCTTGCTGTTTTATCTTGCACCAAACAGATTCGCACACACAGTCTTGAAATTCAAGAGCTGTGCTTTGTAGGTTTTTCGAGACGAGTAAAAACACACCCCCTCCCCTCGAATTTCTGTCTTTGCGGTAGACTTCGTAGTTGGGTGGAAATATTTCGGAGTTGGTCATGGAAGGGTCAAGCCAAGATTCGGTACCACAAACAATGTCAGCATCCGTTGTAGCAAGAAGAAAAGCAAGGTCATCCTTTTTATTTCTGATACTCCTACAGTTCACTGTAACAAAGACAAGTTCCTGTACGTCGGGCCCTCTGATATCGCTTTTTTGTCGTGGCTATACAGAGGTTTCAAACACGACGTCGGTGTCAGGATTGTACTGGTATGTTTTACCACGAATAACTAACTTGTTGTATCGTAGTTTGAATTGGGCGTTTTGTTCCCTGGCGTACTCTAAAAGTTTGCGTCGTGAGAGTTGTATAGCAGGTGAGAAATCCTCACCAATGGAAAAGCCACTCCCCTTTAGTTTATAGGCGACTGACAGTATTTTTTGTTTATCTTTAAATGACAGAAACTTTGAGATAAGGGGGCGTCCTCTCTCTTCGGAAAAACGGCCTAGCCTGTGCGCACGTTCTATGTTAGTGGGCTCAAGCTTTACGCCGAGCTTATCAGAGCAAAAGGTGATCACTTTGGCCTCAGATTCTTCCCAGGTTTCATTTGCTTTGTCCGCCAAGCCGTAAAAGATAAGGTTGTTTCGGCGCGATTGATTTTGTACTTCATCCTGTTGTGCGGTAGTCATTCTAAGTTGGGTGTCAAGTTCCAGATTCGCCGTTTTTATGTCAGCAACTTCGTCTCTCAAGGATTTAACCATAGTCATCTCGCTTTCAATAGCTGTTATCCTAGATGACAAGCCCTCTAGTTTTCTTTCGAACGATGTTTGCATTTCCCTAATGGCTTTCAATTCATTCAACATTGCTTTTTGCCCCTCGTTCATGCCAGGTATTAGTAGCATAGCATCGACTAGTTGTTTCTCCTGTGTAGAAGTGAGCGGGCCTGGGTTCGCTTCTATATCTCCTGCCATCAATAGTCGTTGTTTCACGAACCTAGCCACAGCTAGGCTGTATTTAGTGTAGCAATCGGTAATACCAACATACATTTGACACAAAAGGTTGGGTCTCAGTGCCGACAATCCAGAATGGCCGTTGTGCCTTACATACTTATAAGTGTATGAAAGACCCACCTGTAGGAACAGGGAGAATGAGCGTCCGTCCGACATGTCGGCACCGAAACCCGAGGGTGGATGGTCGAGCAGTCTCTGATATACACTCCCATCACATGACGTGGAACAGAGTTGCCTGCTGTAGTCACAGTTGAAAGTCAAGCACAGCTTCGAAAGATCCAGCGACGAAGCGTTGCAGAGCCAGGGCAGAATGACCGGGCATGTACCGTCGCTGGGTGACGCATCATCTTTGACAGTTGACGTGTAGACGGTGCCGCACTGGACGACGATCAGCCCAAGTACCTGTAGGAACAGGGAGAATGAGCGTCCGTCCGACATGTCGGCACCGAAACCCGAGGGTGGATGGTCGAGCAGTCTCTGATATACACTCCCATCACATGACGTGGAACAGAGTTGCCTGCTGTAGTCACAGTTGAAAGTCAAGCACAGCTTCGAAAGATCCAGCGACGAAGCGTTGCAGAGCCAGGGCAGAATGACCGGGCATGTACCGTCGCTGGGTGACGCATCATCTTTGACAGTTGACGTGTAGACGGTGCCGCACTGGACGACGATCAGCCCAAGTACCTGTAGGAACAGGGAGAATGAGCGTCCGTCCGACATGTCGGCACCGAAACCCCTTGACGAGGACGCTACGTCTCTTCTACGGGACGAGAGGAGCAGCAAATAAAAGCGTAACACGAGCTTTCCGCAAACTGTGTATATTTCCGAAGCCAGATTCCACCCACAGGTACTGAAACTTGCGTTTTGAAAGCAGTTACTCAGTCTTCTCGTCGACAGTACTGCGATGTTAAACGGAGGCAACCGATACCCAGTTACTTCGCGCACTTTGCGTCTTACCTTTGGTGTTCCTCGAGTCACAATTCCTTCGTCAACCGCACACCACGGAGAAGGGCAAACTCAATCCGCGAAACCAAAAGCCGCTCTCGAAAGGACAAACTCGAAGCAGCTGTTTATCGCGTAGCGTGAAAGGTTAAATCGCTAGCCACCAGATGGCGGGGTCAAGCAGAGTAATTGCAAGTAGCTAGGCTAGGTGGCGCTAGGTACCGCCCAATTCATGTTCTACAAAAAATAATTTGCTTGCCTCAGGCCACTACTGCGCTTGGGGATCCTCTGCTATACACAGGATACATACATTACGCTTATTACAAGCATCAGGTGAACAAATATTGAGCATATACACCTTTGCAAGTGGGATCCCGGCTTAACCTCGAACCGCGCGCCAAGGTGAGGCGGACCTACTCTCCAGCCAGGACGGTCGCTGGTTGTCGTACAATGTTGCCAAGCGTCTCTCGCCGAAGCGCACACCACTGAGCGCAGAAAGAAATTTAAAAAATAACTATAAAACGTACACGTGTCGTCTTCGACCGCGAAAGAGCACGGATAATTAAATAAAATGACTAAACCGGTAACAAATAAAAAAAATTCAAAAAGATCTAAAGTCTTAAGGCGTTCTTCAGAATCCGCCACAAGTCGCATGGCCTTCGCATCAACGATGGCTGCGCTCGAGGCAGCTCTGGCTTCCAGACCATGCAGGAACAGAGGCTGCGGTCGTTATAGAGTCAGCTCCAGCCCTTAACGATGCCCCGTCCTACAATATGTGATGCTACGATTCTGTGTGTATACCTCCTCCTGCGTTCCGAGACAGTAAGTGTGCCGCTAACGTTAGCCATCGGCGATGCAGCAAACGGCACCATCTTGTCATCGCGCACCCCACTGACGTGCCCCTGGCGCACCCCAGCATGGCGGAAACGGTACGGGGCGCCAGCATCGCTCAAAATGGCAGCGCACAGGAGCCTTTCTTGCAAACGTGTATAGACGACACACACAAATATCAATACAACAGAACACCACTCTGACCCGAACACTACACCCGTGCTCTGCGTTTCCGTCTTTTATACTGGTCGTTTTGAACGTACGGAACTTTTCGGTGACTCCCTAAGCATTAAAAAATATTCCCAGCATGTTGATTTTTCCCCAGCAATGTCATACCTCTGAGAGTATTTTGAATGGCTCAGGGGATTTATCTCTTATTAAAAAGTAAACGCTCGAACATGCCGTAATTATTTTAAAGCCAATAAATGAAGCCGCTTCAATGCGGTTCGAAGCCATGAGTTCGTTTCCCTACACGGCACGTCGTAGCCTGTATTTCTATTGGTTTTTCTACTTGTGCTGTTCGCGCAAAGCTGCAATTGCCGTCTTGAATTAATCTCTGTAGAGCGGATATTCACTCAGGTGGAAGTGATGCTTCACGGGCTGGGAAATCGCTTTTCGATCAACTTGAATGCAGTCAAAGCCGCGACTTGCGGCAGGTATTAAGTGTACGGAGCTACGCCGTGGCGAGCCCGAAAACTTCTAGCGCTCATCCCAGCGCGCCACTTGGAGGGCAGTTTTTCCAGGAACCGTAGAATATTTAAACAGCAAAATAAAGGGTAGCTTTTTTTTTCGATTTTACCTACTATTGTTTTTTAATGCCGAAATTCCATACTGTAAATATACCTACTTTCCGTCACGATTTCGTACTGTTCAGTCCTTGCCCCAGAGCGCAATCGCTCTCAGGGACGAGACAATTCCGACAGTCACATTGGCCACTGTACGATAGCGATAGGAGCTTCAAATGTTCAGACCAGTGTTCCAACATGACTATCCGCACGTTGATTGATTGCACGTAATCCCGCAAGTGGTATTAAACTTTTTAATGTAAAGCGGAATGTCAACCTGCGACACCCCGCACCCTCCGATCACGGCCCGACGAACGGCATCAATGCCCGACCAGTTTACGATCTCACCTTGTTGTTACACCACTGATACGCGAACACACGGTCACATCGGCGATAATTCCAGTCTTCTGCTCACAACCCATAACACTGCCATCACGATGTTGCAGCCATGTTGCTGACACGTACACATACAGAACCACGTTGATCGCCGGTTGCACTCGGCATCGGAAAACAGAACCGGACTCAGGACTGAAGGCACTTAGGCAGCCGGCAGCAAAACCTGCCTGTCTTGGACGCAGTTCCTGCGATTTCCATAGCGCCGAAAATGTCGATACAGTTCCGCCTGGTTTCGCTACTGTAGTGACTGTAGATCCGTGCCGCGCGAGTCCCGCAATCCGCGCAGTCCGGAGACGGCCATATCCCGGTGTACGTGGCGCTGCTGGCACTGCTTCGGAACTTCGCTGTTTCTAGCGGCTTCGTTTGTTCGTTTGATAAAATTAGTGATAAAAACGTTAGTGCAACTGAAATGTTCTGCACGTTTAGACTAGAAGACGGAATTACACGCGGCCTTCGCTGCCGCTGAAGCTCAATCAAATCAACAGCTATTTATTAAACAACGTGCGCGACCTGCTCGAAAAACGAAACCGAAAGATGAGTCGGGAGGGCGAAAGCTTTCTCCCGTCTGCCTGGAGAAGGAGAAAAACGTTTCGTTCCTCCCTGTTTCTCGTGTCCGCTTGGGGGCGCGTCAGTAGAAGGGAGGAAGACCCGCCGTTGCTACTTTTTTCCTACATTTTTTCTTAGAGTGTAGGATAGATAACGCCACTAAAACTTTGTAAAATAAAGGTTTTGTCGATGATACCAAATTTTTTACGCATTTATATTTATGTTGGAACGACAAGATTTATAGAAAGGTTACCTTTTATCGAGCAGGTATTCGCACAACTTGCTATCTTTTTACAAGACCCCCATTGACGTTACGCCGCGTGTTTCTCGTGGCCGCCGCTTGCGGCTGCAGGTCGGGGAATATTCTAATTTTTGCTTCGCGATCCGCGAAGCAAAAATGAGCCGCGAAACGTTAAAATCGTTTCACGGCTCCTTTAGTTCAGGTTTCATAGCAAAGCGGATCTTCGCGCCAACGGTCCAATTTCTCGTAGCCAACGCACGCCATTAACGTGCGCCGCCAAGCATTTAGGACACTACGGTGGTGAGTCCAAGAAGCTTATTCTTTCAATTTCATTGGAAGAGTCGAGCATTTTATTTTTCCTAGGGTGACTTGATGTGTGCTTTGCTTAGGGTGATGACATCTGGCCATTTTCTTCCGAACGCTTATTTTTATGTTTTCTTCTGAAGCGCGTGAAATACAGTTGAACCTGCACGTGCTCGTGGCGTTGAGTTTGCTATGGCGATATTTTGTGTTCGTCAATTTCTTTGTATTTTCCCTGTGAGCGCGTGCTGTCAGCGTCAGGCACTACAAAGGATGGCATCACCCTGAACAGAAGGAAATTGGCCGATCTCACTAAACTTTGGGCAGATGCGTGAAGCTGCTCTAACTTAGTCATAGCCTCCTATATACTGGCAAAGCCTGGCAGATCGCCACGAGAAGCGGCCGCCGAAATGGAAAAGGTGGAGCGGCAGACAACGGATGAGAGAAGAGAAACGTGACTGGCGCCCCATTGCGGCGAGACGCCGAAACACATGTATCCCGAGCGAACAAGTGTGTTTCGCGTCCTCGCCGCTGCGAAAGCTGTGGACTGACGTAAAGGTTCCCCGAGAAATGGCTCTTTGATGGTCTGTGCTACCAGATCCTGGCGCTCCCAATCTGCGACCGGGCACCTATATCGCTCCGTCCTCGAACTGCCAGGTATATGCTTTAGTTCACATGGAAAGGCAGGCGCCAGGGCCGGAGACGGCTCGTACCGTCCCGGGCTCGGCACGCGCAGATCTCCAGCAAAGTTGTCGCACATACAAAAAGACTAAAGTTACATCGGTGCATTGCGGCAGCGGGGGCGTAACTGAACTGGCTGGTGAGATCGTTCTATTGAGACACCCTAATAGACCGATCTCACCAAGCGTTGGGCGCATGCGTGACGCCGCCATAACTTTAGTTCGCAGGAGGCAGGCAGCAGTGCACAAGACGGCTCGTGCCGCCTTATGCTCCACACGCGCAGAGCTCCAGCGAGGTTGTCGCACGTGCAGAAAGGCTAAAGCTCCCTCGACGCGTTGCGGCAGCGGTGGCGTAGTCAAACTGGCTGGTGAGATCGGTCTATTTTTCCAGCTACTGTCTTTCTCTTCGACAACGGAGGCGAGGCAACAGTGGCGCGCTTTAGCCACGGGCAGCAGAACCGATAATGTAGAAATGCGCTCGAATAGGAAACCGAAACTTGTTGCGAAGTGGGTTGATTTAGTAATTTTCAACGATGCCTAGAATGTTTCTGATTGTAGCCTTATCCATAAACTAATAAATTAAATATTAATTTAAAAAATAGTAATATAAATCTACCGAACTTTCTAAACTTTTTATAAGTCTTCATTGGCAGAGACAAATACGAAATTAAAAGTACTTGTTGGGCTAGTTGGTGATTACTGTTTTGAAACATGGTTAAAAGCGCTAAAAATACGAACACAAGATAAAAGACAAACACGTTGGAAGCATGCGTACTCTGGAAGAGTACCCAAGCCAATCCGTCAGCGACTCCTGATTGCATTGTACGTGTAATGCCGAGATTCACTTTTTTTAAAGTTAATTGATGAAAACGCGAATAGCTCGTATACCGCCGTATACATAGCCTAGGTGACGATAGGTGTATCAACATATATATAGGTACTTCTATCATCTTTTTTCAAATACAGTTGTGAGTAGTACCCGTGCTTGTCTTCTTTCTTGTGTTCAT